CCGAGGGTGTAGTCACTGTACTCCCAAGACCCTATTTTAAGCTTTTAATGTCATTTAGCATAGTAGTCTACAGCCTCGATTCACAACCAGAGGGACTGAGATTTAATCCTTGTGCCAGACTGAAATGGTTTTTCCTTTCACCTAATGTCACTGTTTACCTAGGAAAATAGGTACCTGGGGCTTAGGCACATGTGGGTTTCATCCTTTGGGGACCTAGATAAGCCCAAGTACTATACAGACCTCCGGTTCCTGACAACAGGAATTATATGCCGTGATGTTATTGAGCAGCTATAAGGCCTGCTCCTCACTTGTGTTCAAATATCTATCCCTAATTTGGAATACTTTTTTTTCTTTGCAAAAATACTGGAGAAACTGGTCAGTTAATATATCATGTTATGTTACCCAAGTATTAGTGAAATTGTAATCACTGAAGGCCAGGTCCTGAGGCCTTGGTCCTGAGGCGGGACCAAAGAGCCAAAGCTCAACCACCGCAAGCACAACTAGGTGAGTACTGAGGCTCTGTGCTCTGTAGCCTTAGCTACAGTTGCCATTTACACTGGCGCACACACACACACACAAGGGCCAGAACACATTCTTGGCTGACCTTTTCACCAGGTACGGTTTCTCCATGCTACTAGCCCAGTATGGCAAATCCCTCCAAACCGGATCACTTTCCGCTTCATTGTAGAACCCTCCAAACTAGATCAGTCTTGGCTACATTGTAAAACCCTCCAAACCAGATCATTATCAGCTACATTGTAAATCCCTCCAAACCAGATCAGTTTCCATTACTGCTACATTGCAAATCCCTTCAAACAAGCTCAATTTCTCTTACATTGTAGAACCCTCCAAACCATACAAGTTTCAGCTATATTGTAAATGCATCCAAACCATATCAGTTTCCGCTTCATTGTAAATTAGAAAGAAATTGCATATGAATCGGCAAAAAAACAGTTGCCGCTTTCTTCCAAATGATTGCTCACGCATACATCAGTGCCTAACTTTGCACCTGAATATCTTCCTTCTTTTTCTTGAAATTACGAAGCCATCCCAAACAACCTTTAAAATCATCAATAATACCCAATGGATGAGCACTTTCCTCCACTGCTGAATTTATTCACTCGCTACGTACACATTTCTAAATTACAGTGCTACAAAGACAAGAAGGAATACAGAATTATCTGTATTCCTGTTTGCTGATGATGCTGAAATACTAGGGAAGAAAAATAATTTGATGATTATAATGGGGAAGATAAAAAATTTGGACGATTGTCATGGGGAAAGTAAAAAAATTGACGATTATCATGCCCTATAAGAAGACCTGGACAAGGCATTTAGTAGCAGCACGGAAAGAAAGATGCTTGCCTGCACACACATATATATATAACAAAATACTTGGTCACAGTAACAGAGCGGCACTAACCTCTCATGCATGAAAGGCATTACTGGGTCGCTGTGGCGGGGACGCACAAGGGCACACACACACACACACACATCTTAAGAAGCACATCAACAAACTGGAAAAGGTGCAAAGACATGCTACTAAGTGGCTCCCAGAACTGAAGGGCAAGAGCTACGAGGAGAGGTTAGAAGCATTAAATATGCCAAAACCAGAAGACAGAAGAAAAAGAGGTGATATGATCACTACATACAAAATAGTTACAGGAATTGATAAAATCGACAGGGAAGACTTCCTGAGACCTGGAATTTCAAGAACAAGAGGTCATAGATTTAAACTAGCTAAACACAGATGCCGAAGAAATATAAGAAAATTCACCTTCGCAAATAGAGTGGTAGACGGTTGGAACAAGTTAAGTGAGAAGGTGGTGGAGGCCAAGACCGTCAGTAGTTTCAAAGCATTATATGACAAAGAGTGCTGGGAAGACGGGACACCACGAGCGTAGCTCTCATCCTGTAACTACACTTAGGTAATTACACACACGTGATTGGTAATATTGGATAAGGGTGGCTTTGTGGCACCAAACAAACTCATATGCTAGGCAATACTAGATAACAGTGGCTTGGCAGCAACAAGGGCACACACATGATAGGCAGTACTATGTCACATTTATTAATGTGGTATTTAAGGGGCTTAACTCATGTATTGCTGAATCTGCATAATACAGTATCTTGCAAATTATGGGTTACCTATACATTTTGTAAGATTATATCTAAGTAGTCATATCCAAGTGCAATTTTACTCTCAGTTTTGTATATTAAATACAGTGGTGCAATATTATAAGAGCTTGCTTAACTTGACACTGTTTCCCTGGACCTTTGGGTAATCCGGACAACATAAAAGTCCAAGTTTTTCTTCCAAACTTCCTCAAACTCAGACAGAAACCTAGGTTACCGAGACACACAGAAATCACACTAACGTGATGCATCAAATGAACAAATCCACAAGGGCCGTGACGAAGATTCGAACCTGCGTCCGGGAGCATCCCAGACACTGCCTTAATCGACTGAGCTACGACATGGTAAAAAGAGTTGAAACCGAAGTTCTACTGAACTTATTGGATCCCGCAGCCTCTCCGAGGCACAAACCAGGGTTTTACATAACTCCCCCATGCACTCGAGCTATGTCACTAGGCCTCGTCACGGCCCTTGTGGATTTGTCCATTTGATGCATCACGTTAGTGTGATTTCTGTGTGTAATGATGTAAGGGCGAAGAGGGAGAACGGCCTATTGACATAGCTCGAGTGTATGGGGGAGTTGTGTAAAACCCTGGTTTGTGCCTCAGAGAGGCTGCGGGATCCAGTAAGTTCAGCAGACCTTTGGTTTCAACTCTTTTTACCATGTCGTAGCTCAGTCGATTAAGGCAGTGTCTGGGATGCTCCCGGATGCAGGTTCGAATCCTCATCACGGCCCTTGTGGATTTGTCCAGGTTACCGAGAGTTTTGGCCAGGTTACTAAATGGTATTGAGAGACCTATGCTCACAAGAAGAAGCCTTAGCAGCCAGCAGTCAAAACTAACCTTTCCAGTCTACCCTAACCACATGAATTTATGTTTGTGGGTGGAAATATACTGTAAATTATTTTGGCTGTGATACAAAAAATTATGAATGTTCATTTTTTTCTCCTTCCTGGTAAGAACTCATGCTAACACGAATGTCTTGCTAACGCAGAGAGGGGTCGGCTCCATATGATCTGGACTAGAGAGCATTACAAGTACTGTACAGAGCTTTAGAATATCTAGCACATTATTGAAAATTAATAAATACTCTTTGTTGGGTTCTTGTTATTTTTAGCTATTTGGAAAGAAGCCTTAGAACTTCCTGAATAGAAGGTGGATATATGTTGTTGTAAATAATCCAACCCACATGTGCAAATTACAATGAAAATGACAATATTTAAGTTTGTCCTGGGCTGTTGTATCATTACTGTACCGTACTTTATATGGGGGGACTTGAAAGATAAGTGGGGGAACTGTGTAGAGGAGACAGTGGGAACTACGACAGTAGGTGGGGGACTGTATGGACGACACAGTGGGGACTAAGAAGGTAGGTGTAGGAACTGTGTAGAGGAGACCGTAAAGACTAAGGAGGAGAGAACCACACGTAGTGACTGGAATACAAGAGAAAATTACAAGAAGTAACTGTAGCACTGTAAGGGTTAAAGAGCATAGTAATTTAAAATTGAAAAAAAGTTTATGGGCCTATATAAATTACAGTTCAAATTAGAAACTTTATTGACCATAGTTTTCACAGTGTTACAATTATGGCTGGATTGAACAGTGTAAGTGAAACTTTAGTCAAAATTGTATAACATTTGTTTTACAATTTGAATGGCGATATAAACAGTATTGTAAAGCATATATAAAAATTTGGATTATGAGAGAATTTGTAGAACTAATATAAACTAATTAACTGAAGAATGCATACAACCATTGAAAATTTTGTTTATTTCACAATGTATTATATAAATAATATGGGATATTTTGAGAATATCTTGGATCAGATTTATATTAATGCTAGCAGAAAAAATTAGTAAATGAAATGTGGAAGCATTCTTCATTGGTGTTTAATTGCACATTGTCCATAGCAGGGGTTCCTAGCCTTTTCTACATTTAGACACCCCCTCCTGATTTATTACACAATATGTCATTATACTCCCTTCAGCAGACTGTTGAAATAGTCACCATCACTGTCCTATTTGGTACCAGTATGACTTGAAATGATCTCAAAGAAATCACAACAGTGTGATATATCAGTGTGTACAGTTGGGTTCGTTCTCGAGTCAAAATAGAAAATTCCGGGATCGAATCCGGGTCAGGACAGAAATGGTTAGATGCATTTCCTATCACCTAATGCCTTTGTTCACCTAGCAGTAAGTAGGTCCCCAGGAGTTAGTCAGCTTCTTGTGGGGTTGCATCCTATGGTTGAGGGTCAGTAATTCGAACCTCGGGGAAAACTTGATATTAGTCTAACAAGTACTATATATACTGTATGCACTAGCTAGCTGCCTGTTCCCCGACACCATGATTATTATTTGGGCCAATGAAGTGACTTGGACCGGCATTCTAGGGATTCCCAATTCCCTCATTGCCCCAAATAATTTACTACAAAAGATGTCAATATCTTTGCTTATGTTTACATGTGGGTTGGAACACCACAGCCGAAAGAAAATCTTCAGGATTTAGAAATGTATATTTATAGAAAATGGCAAACCTCAAATCATAACTAAGCTGCAACTAGTGCAATTTTGTTCTGTTTTTGTACAATCAAAACATGAAATTGAGGAAACATTACTAACAGTAACGTTTTGTTAACGTTATTAACAGTAACGTTAATTCTAATTAAAAAAAAAAAGCATTGAGCCCCATACCCCCCATTACTTGATTTCCATGCCCCCAAGGGGTATGGATACCCCACCCCCAGGTGAAGAACCCCTGGTCTATGGTTTTTATTGACCATATTAGTCAATTATCTTGAGAACTTTTGCTTAGAAATCTATTGAAATAGATGTAGTAATTTCATGCTTATTTTTGGTATTTTAGATCAGGCTTCTACTGTATACCGGGAACTTATGCTCTAGAGCAGGTATTGAACGTTTAATGTATAAGGATTCTCACTGCTTTTTTCTGTGCTTGTTGCTTTGATAATATTGCTTTCAGCTGTAATTATATTAGTTTGCCAACTCTCTCCCTAAGGATAATAAGGACTTGGGATCATCCACATTTTATCTACGCCGTGACCAAAGTGAAACTGATGAGTTGATCAGGAAAGAGAGCAAGGAGGACCTGAAAGACTCGAGAAAGTCGGTGAACCGCAGTGATAGCAAGGGGGACTCGGAGGTCCTTAAACTATTGAGGAAGGACAGCAAGGGAATAGAAAAGACTAAAGACGAGAAGAAGAATTCCAATGGAAAATATGGGTCCGACGCCAAGGCGGAGATCATGAAGCTTCTCGGACGAAAGGAAAGCAAAGGAAAAGAGAGAGATGACAGAGATAGCAAAGGGAAAGAAGGTGAGAGGGAAGACAAATTTGTGGACGATTTTCTTCTAGTCAAGAAAAACTCGGCAAGTGAAGGAAATGATGGTGCTGAGGAGGCTGCGGAACAGGTTAATGATGATCTCTGGCAATGGGAAGAAGGGGAAGATGATGATGACAAGGCTGAAGGTGGTTATGAGTTGAGACCCGACCGTCCAAGGTCGAGGTCAATCACACCTGAGCACTTCCCAAAGACCGAGATGGGAGATGATAAACAAAACAATCACGATGCTGCTAAGAGACATTCAAGATTCAGACTAAAAGAACAGCTTACAAAACTTGATGCAAAATTCAGAAAGGCATTCTCTTCTGAACACAACTCCATTGAACAGAATTCAGACTTTTATGTGGATGACATTACAGTTATTGGGCCAGATGGAGAGAGGAAAGAAATAGAGAATACATCAGACCATAAAGGAAGTACTGACATTGAAGATGCAGAAGAAGCTGAAGAAGCAAAAGATGATTCTGAAAAGGGAAATGAGGTAAACATTGAGAGCAACAACCATGAAGTGAAACCTGGTGCCTTTTCAGCTAGTCCCAAATTAAGTCCCAGAGAAACTCCTAAAACCAGTCCCAGGCCAACCCCAAAAGCCACCCCAAGGCCAAGCCCCATTGATGAAGCCAAATTCATAGAACAAGATCTTGCCAAAAAGCCAAACGTTCAGGAAGGTGCCGACCGAAAATCTCTAGCGCTCTTTGACAAGGATGGCAATCCTGTACCCCCTCCACGACGCAAGGTACGACTTTCAGAAGTCAAACAAAAGAGCAGCAAAAGTTCTTTCAGCAGCTGTGATCTTGGCAAGGAATCGAACGTTTCGCATGCTCAAGGTGCCGGTAATGCTGGACCGCTTTCAATTTCCCCAGTAGAGGAAAGTGGGGGCTTCTCTGACCACCATAAATTCTTTCAAAAGTGCCAGGGTTCTGACACGACTCCTGTTCAGACCCCCTCCCATACCGGGGCAACTCCACCTACAGCAGGAGCCAGCATAACTAGCCCAAACAGCAAGGGAGCATTCAAGACTTTTGTCAGCCACATCACCAAGAGAGGCTCCTCGCACGCACTGCAGGGTATGTTCTTTTGTTCTCCTCCAGGTACAGCTAAGACACTGTTACGATGGATTTTGTCAGCCCCCCTGTTTGCCTAAAACTGCATCTAACTTTACCTTAACTAGAAGACAAATGATTTAGAAAATTTACATCTCATTGAATGTTTAATATCCAATTGCTGTATTTGCATAACTCACTTGTCAAAAGTACAAATTCAAGTAACTTTGAATTGGGAGATCCAGTATGTAATGGTATCTTTGCACACCTTGAGGTTGAGTTGTGGTGCAGAGGGCCACCCGGGCACTTGAATGGGTTGTGTCCACAGAGATGTGACGCGTTTTGCCTGTATGTTGGTTAAATGTTTACAGCGTCCTTTTTTTTTATTATTATTATTTTTTGTTTAAGAGATGGTTTATGATCCAAATGTTTGCTGCTATTGTAATTTCTCAGTTATTTTCAGGAAAATTCAAAAGAAAACCAATGTATTTTATGATTTCTTGAAATCATTTGTGTTCATTTTCTAGAATATATAAACCATCTTCTATGCAAAGTCATAATTTAGGACGTTTAATGTAGCACCGAGGCCTCATCTAGCCTGTGTGGTTGATTTGTCAAGCAATGCCAAGTAACAGATGCCAAATTTTTTCCGACATTTAGTGAATCAGCACATGTACATCAAGACCAAAGCAAATTTGATATTTTCTCGAATGCAACCTCCATTACGCAAAGGGGAAAACCCTACGGAAAGGGTGGTTGCGGAGTGTGGAATTCCCGAGGGGCAATGTTAATAACATTTCTCACAGAACTTTGATGGGTTCTTTGTAGGATGTGGAAAGCTTGCTTTATTTTCTTTATTCGTTTGGTTGATTTATCTATAAATAACGGCATGCATGTTGTAAATAGCGAGCGCCTGCATTCAGGTGTCGACATCTTGTTGCCGTGGTTTTTATAACCAAATATTGTGCCATTAAATAGTTTTTAACCCATTTACATTATCAAATTACCGTATGTGATATTTGAAAGAAAACTGAGCATGGACTTTTTTTTTTTTTTTCATCAATTTGACCAACTATTTAAAAGCTAATACAGTCATAGTGTCAAGAATTTCATGATGTCTGAATGCATGTGCTACACTATGCACTCAATTTCTATATAGGAAGATGTACACAAACTTTGTGTAGAAAAGGTTGCGTGTTCTTTAGGATTCTTAACTTAACATTTTCATTTAACTCACTTAGATGATATGAACTGAGGCTTCATTTTTAAAATTTTGGCAAGTGCACTTTCAGCAAGACTTATTTCCTAATACGTGTGTGTGGCTTGCAGTATTGGTATGGTAAGTCTTTTATAAGTGTGTAGGGTATTTTAGCCGTGTCAGTGCAATTTAGCGCCTTTAATAAATTTTTCATGATTTTAATCACCGTTCCCTATTTTTTTTTCTTTGCTCCCCCCTTACTGCTGCACTGTAGAAGGACGTATCCAATTGCTCTTCCCCAGTTTCTGCGTCTTGTGCCACACCTGTTCACACCTCCACATCACTTCCACATAGCTCTAACTCATCGTTGAGTGCCACTTACACTGTAAATACCACGCCAGCAACCACCACCACAACTGTTCCTAACACGAATTGCAATGGAGACCGCAGTTGCCTTAAATTTTTTCGAAGTCCATGCATAATTATTGGTAACTATTCTTACAACTGATGGTCTGGTTTGGTAGAGTTCTCTCTTGATGGCTTGAAGGAATGAATGTGTTTCCCAATAGGCCGCAGAGTAGCGTTTGGTTGCGGGTAACAGCTGCTTGCTGCCGAAGGATATATATATAGTTGCCAGGAATAACTAGCATACAGTAGTTAGGTCAATTTTTAGCAGCATTTGTAACCATGAGTACAGTAGTTAATAAGCTGGTCATTTGCCTTTCTTGTGTAGTATTATTTAACAAGCTTTTTAGGGTACTTGTACATAACATGTCTCATAGATAGATGTCATGCACTTGGTCAATAAGTTCCAATTTTCATACCAATTTTCACACTAATTTGCATACCAATTTCAAAATTCACTTATGCATAGTGTGTTTGTCAATGAAATAATGTTGATGTAAATCTTACGAACAATTGTTTTCATACTAAATAGCCAACGTTTTGACATTGTTCAGTCCAGGTTTTGAAGGCAATGAAATTCTCTAAGTGAAATGTGGAACCATGAACAGGTACCATTCCTATTTATTTAGTATATTGAACTTATTTAATAAGTATTGCTGTTATCGGTGAAAGTGTCATAAAATTAGCATGTTATATCTTTGTAAAATGAAATATTCTAGTAATTTCCCCCAAATTATTATGTGGGATATATTATACACGTAAATTTTTGTTCTTAACCCTTAAATGGCTCGGCTAATTAAAAGTTGTACATCATGGTGCACATGACAAAAAAAAAAAAAAAAAACTATTGTAAAAAAATCACATTTGGCAACTCAAACACAGGATGTAATAGCAGATAACAATTGAAGTCATTGAAGGGTTAATAGTTTCACATTTCATTTCCTTATATATGACATTAATTTGAATGAGATTCCAATGCCTTCTTATAACCACATCGGAGAAAGTGCTCTTAACATTCAGTGAAATTGTGCTTGTCATAGATATCAGAGAATTGGAAAGAAAACGTCATCCTAATGTGTATTCTCTAGCACTCCACCTCACTAACAGCACAGGTTCATGACCCATCGTTTCTTCCTTTTTCAGAGCTTGTATTCTTTGTGGTAGCTAAAACCTAACAAATGATTTAGGACTCCATCTCTTCTGCGTCAGAACTGTGCTACTCTTGGCGGGCTTTTGTATCCTCAGTTACTCTTGGGGGGGCTGGCAAGCTGGTCAGATAATGCACTTACAGTACGATAAGGGTTTTATACGAATGGAAGAGACCGAGAGTGCACAGTTTCTGACACGGAAAAGTTTGTTGCTTGAGTACAGAGGGGTTGGTGTGCATGAGAAGGAGCACAGCACAAGGCAACGCCCAACTAGCCCCTGGCCCAGCTATGGCTTTCCTAGCCACCTCTGGCCTGGACCACTCACCCTTCCTGGTGCGCCACCAGATTTATTCTGCTGGCTCTTGAGACATTGCTACTGTTGCTGCTGCTGCTATTAATATGATGATGATGATGCAAGGTGTGGCAGCCACCGACAGTAATAGTAGCAGCAGCAGCAGCAGCAGCAGCGGCATGGGTGTCGTGACTGTGTACTGAGGGGTGGGCATGTGTTCTAGCTGAACGGGGTGTGCCTGTCGCCCACGGGGGGAGGCCGGGCAGGCGGCGTGCGTCGTTTGGGCAGCGATCGAGGGGACAACATGCGACGCTGCAGAAGCCAAGGTACTCGAGCGCGGCTGGTCAGGGCCTTCACCACGGCGGGCGGAGGGGGAGGGCTCACCACCACCCCAGAGGACCCCCCTTGCAGCCCCCCACCCACGCCGGGTGGTCCCCATTCGGCACCCTCCAGTGGTAGCAGTGTGGGTGGTGGCAGTGTTGGTGGTGGTGGTGGCAGCGGCAGCGGGAGTGGTGGTGGGTCGATGGCTGTGGCGCGGCTAGAGCAGAGGGCACTCTCTCTCTTACACACCAGGCACTACACCAGTTTTGGTAGTAACGTCACCTACCGTTAATCCTCCCTCCCTCCACCTTTGTAGACCAACTCATCGTCACCATCATTCCACGCAGCGTGGCTCGGATGAAGGGTTTGTTCATGTCAGATTTATGGTCCGGCCACGCAGTCGAGTGTGATGGTGTCCAGTGGTTCTTAATATTTCACTAGGGTACTGTTGAAGGTTATTAAAACCAAGTCCCTCTTTGACTGTTTAGATTTGGAAAATGTTAGATGTAGTGCTGCAGAGAGTTACAAGGTATCAGAAGTGGGCATCACAGTGACTTGGGTATGTTGTAATTGTAAGAGCCTTTTGGGTCTGATACCAATGGCTGTTAGAAATGCATTTCATATCACAAGTAAAGTGCAAGTGTCATAACTACCTTAATAAATAGTTAAGAGCCTTGCCCCGAGGATAACCTCTTCAATACCTTGAAACCGCACTCTTGGATATGTTTAATTTCTGTAGGATGGCAGTCTTATTGTTCATGTTTTGCATTTACAAAAAAAAAATATATAAATATGTATATATATATATATATAAATATATATGCATACAGTATATTAAGTTGGTAATCTCTGTTGTATGCAGCTGCCAAATATATTCTGTGCTAATGGTAAGCTTGAGTAATTTCCATATGAAAACAGTTAATTGCACTGCTAATGTCTCTCAGCTCTTCAAAGTATTTCCCATTGACATAATTTCTCTCTTAGGTATAAATACCAAACAATAGGGACAGCAGGTATGAATCTCACATTAAAACTTAGTGTAATAAACTTCTGTCTCAGATCTTCGCAGACTTTCCTGCTTCAAGTTTCTGGTCTTGCGAATCTACGGTAACAACTTAGTAGGCTATAAGAACTCTCTCTAAATCTTGGTAGAGTTGTCAGTGTCCTACCCTTCACCCCCCAGAACCCCCCCCCTCTCACTTTTTGAGATTACCTGACTTGTAGGTGACGTTTCTATGCGCTATTGAGTACCTCTGAATGCCTTTTCCTAATTTATGGCCTCTGCTCTATTTCAATTTAAAGTATTTTTTGATCACTTGTATTTGCAGTCTCGTGTAAATAAGTGTTTACTTTCTGGCTGTATTTCTTACATTCTAAGTAGCCTTGTGATCTGAGCTTTGTTAATGTAGATTGGCTGACTTTTTCTTAAAGACATTGAATGAAGAAGACTTGTATTTTTAAAGCAACAATATACATACAGTATTTCCATAGACCCAATGCATTTCGTTAAAGCAAGAGTTCAATTTCTTTTCTTCAAGCTTACAGTCTCTTGGTGCATATTAGGTGAAACGCCACAGCATTGTGAGCCTTATGTAAAGTGTCTGCAAGGCTGTATGTTTGATCTTACAAATGCATAAAGAGCTTCAAAAACAGCCATTTG